TTTACTGAGTTAATTAAAGGGTTCTATGATGTAGTGTATACATCATGTGATGTTCATTTAGAGATAACGAACATGTTGCATACGCAGAGAAAATAAAAGCAAATTTTACAGGACGTTCATGTCAACATGTCTTGATACAAAGCAAAACCTGTTATCTGAACCTCTCATAAAAGTGAAAATACACTTAAATTGATTTTTAACAAACCAATTTCATTATTTCTTTTAATAATGTATTAAATTTCTGAAAAATTTCTGAAAATGAGTCATCGCTAAAAGATTTACTAAAATCAAACGGTGTTCAGTTTTAGTTATTAAAGCTTTTGCTAGTTGTAAAATTAATAAGACTTTAGACATAACGATTACGAGTCAAAATAGGTAATTATCTCTTAATACAAATAACTAGTTAGGCATCACTTATAATATTGTGTATAGTTTTGGTCTCCTTATGTAAGAAAGGATATTGATTTGTTGGAGAGGATTCAGAGGAGGGCTATTAGGATGATCCCGGGGATGGAAGAGTTAACTTATGAAGATAAGTTAAGATTTCTTAACATATTTTTCTTGAGAAAAGAAGGATAAAATATTATTTGATTCAAGCTGATAAGATGATATGGGGATTGATAGGATAAAGGCCTCTGATTTCTTTGGCGCTGAATTCTGAAAACAAGAGGACACACGCTAAGCCTCAGTTAAAAGTTTTATTTTGTAATAGCGTTTCGCTCATGGAAAGAATTGTTGCCAACAGTGATTTAGGCTTCTTACAATAGTTTAAGATAGGGAATCAATTATTGACTGAAAAATAAAGCGGGGAATAAATAAATTGTTGTTATATTTCTATATATGGAACATTTAAGAATAATTAAATTAAACTTTAGTAAATTATTTTGGGTTTGTGTGTGAAAAATATTACTGTCTCATCATCGATGTAAAAACCAACAACATTATTAACCAACTCTCAAGTTGCTTCAGATGTAATCTAAATATTTTAATTATTTTAAGTCAGAAAGAAATAAAAAAGTAAAACGAGTTTTACTTTAAAAAAATCATAGAAAAATTCCTTATGTAATTTTCTATAATGTGAACCAACGTGCTTCGAACACGTACATTGAATTCTGTCTTTATTCCAGGGGTTTGTGTTCGTCGAGGCTAATTTTAATCTCTTTATAACAAATTTTTTAATGATCATATCCTTTTATATTTTCGCTTCACAGCTAAAACAAAGCCAGGAACAATGCTATCAAAGAATATACAAAATAGCAACATTCAACTTATGACGCAGCTATTCATATTTACACTTAAAAACACACTTGAATGTTTAGGACGTATATTACCAAATGAAGAACATGAGCTTCTTATTAAAGAACCAGTTTAACTCGTTTTCAGATTGCATAAAGTTCATGGACTAGAATAAATGTCAAAAAAACACCTGAATGTTTAGGACGTACATTACCAAATGAAGAACATGAGCTTCTTGTTAAAGAACCAGTTTAACCTGTTTTCAGACTGCTTAAAGTTCATGGACTACAATAAATGTCAAGGCTGTATATATATATATATAAATTTATTGCACAACTGTCCAAATTTTTTACATAAAAACAAAGCATAGTTTCCGTACAAACGCAGACATTACATATAAAATGCAATACCAAGGTAAACACGATATATAAAAGAGAAGTATAGTTAGTTACCTAAGAAATGCAGATGCTACATTTAAAAAAAGCTCTATAGTTACGGTATAATTGCAAACAGTGGTTAATGTACAAATGTCAACACCACATAAAAACAAATGCAACTAATTTACAAATGTGGAGGCTATATATATACATAAACCCATATAATGATCACAGTTACTTTGCGAGCATCAAGACTGTATATATATATACATACACACCCAAACATGATAA